AAGGTCTTTCCTTGAGGTATTCTATAGAGACATGGCTCATGTGCAGAATGAGCTCTCGTCAGCAACCACTATGTCTGCCAGCGAGTCTCACCGTAATGAACAAAGAAGAAGAGCCTCAATCCTTGATCATATGTTCGTCTTGTCAACCGCAGGTGTTATTTTTCACTACAATGCTCTTTGATACCTATGATCGGTAAGACTGGTTTATAAATCGCGGATCGAGCCAAATCCTTGAGCCAAGCCAAGTTCAGTCGAGCGACTATGACTGACTACCCTCTACCGTTAATCGTTATGCCGCTGCAAATGGTTCTTCCATCACAATCAGGGCACGACTTGTTCCAAACTTCGAGGCGGTATAACCATTAGCGGTGAAAGCCCATCGCGCGATTGAACCGTCCGAATACGAAGTATCACACGTACTAAGATTCTTGACGGCTGCGCGCTGGATGTAGATTAGCATTGTTTCTATGCTAAGGATGGTTACGTTTGGTTGGGCCTATTCGGACGTAGACTGATTGTTCATCAGTGTTTTCCCGTGACCGGCTAATACCTTACCCAGCTTTGAATAAAATAGCGCAGAATCTCGCTTTTCGATTATCATGCCTGCTTGATATAATCATTTCCAAGCGCTGCTACCAACGAGGCACTGCGGCATGGTGAACAACATCGCTCCTATGCAGTGTAGTATTCACTTATTCGAAAAGGATTGGGAATATTCTAGTATTTTTGGGGAGTTCCCAGACTAGGAGAAAGAGGGACTACTCGATTCTGCAGGACCTCGTAATAAAAAGCCGACATGAAGAACGACTGATAAGGGAACTTTTGTCCTCTAAAACTTGCATGAATCCTATGAATACTCGGACAATGGAACGTTCAAGTACACTTCACAGAAATCGGACGTTGAGGATATAGGATTTGGGATATGTTTCGATTTTTTATAGGACAATTTGCTCGGGCTATGGCAGGATTTTCCTTCCAGCCCGACAATTCCGATCCGATTTGTGCCATGTTTAATGCAGAGGTTTATGTTGACCGATTGAAAGGGGAACTTCAGATGGAAACGGCAAGTAACGATAGAATGCATTTTCGGGGTTTCCTTCAAGTTTGCTCGTCGTCATTTTTGCAGCGTGTTTCGGTATTTATAGCAGCAATAGGGCCCTTTTTATTATGTCTCATCCACTCCGTTGTTTGATGTAGAGCAGATCCTAATGCAGAGAAGAATGAGCCAAAAATTGACATCTTCAATGTGAGCCACCACCTTGAAGATGTCACTTTTTTCCTTAGTATGTTTTGTAATCAAAAAAATTTTTTTCTACTCACTTTATCGCATATAATGTTTTTGCAATTGTTGGCATTTTTCTCTCATGATGCTTTTTCTTTGGTAGTCGATAATAAATGGTAGATGTTAGAACGAGGTTCCCAGAAGATATGTGGGAACAAATTATTGGGTTGGCCCATAAGTAATAGGCGTTTTTCAATTGGAAATTTTGTTAAAAAAGTGAAAGTTTTGCGAGCAAGTTTGATATCATCTGATAGGAAACTTCTCGTACTATAAGAATATCGAAACAGCTTCGGGTGAGGAAATGATTTTTGTAAGTTTTTTAGTCGTTGAAGTTGAAAGTTGAGTCGGCGAAAATTAGTACCTTCGACAGCTGCCTCTATTTACGTCTATTCGAAGTGCTAAAATCGCTTAAGCTGCTCCATACATTTGCAATAGGTTGAGCTAGAAGTCCCAGCAAGGGAATCCTCATAGGACGCTTCGGAACTAATTTCAAGATTTTTTCAAGTTTTCGAGCTTCTCAATGCCTCTCGCTGACTGAGCTGGGTGATCAGTGGGAAGATGTTGTAATAAGCAACGGAGAATACATACCATTTTCACTTTAAATTCACCCTTTTTCAAACCAAATTCACCCTTTTTCAAACCAAATTCACCCTTTTCAAACCAAATTCACCCTTTTCAAACCAAATTCACCCCTTTTCAAACCAAATTCACCCTCACTTTTCACATCAAATTAACCACACTTATTAGGGCGGGCAACTCATCAACCAGATGCAATCGCCACGAGCTAGATCATCACTCGCGAGCTCCCCGTCCACCGGACTGGCCGACGTCCCACGTTGTCAGCGCGGACATAGATTCTCAAATCTTGTTTCATAACTTCTGCTTTTGCTGTTTCCCACAACACTTTGACTGGAAACGACCGGGCATTGACACATGGCCGACTCCGCCCATTCTCTAAAGGGTTCGGCAATCTAGGTTACACGCCCATGCTTGTTTTTTTCGCGGACTTTCAAATGTTTTGAAATAATTTGGGCATGTTGGGCTGGCTGGCGTGAAGGGCCCGCCCACAGTGAGAGGCTCCGCCCACTTTGAATAAGCCCCACCCACTTTTCAAAAGTGGTTCAACTCGGCAGTATAGAGCCTTGGCTTGCATGCTAGGGTATTGCTGATCATTCGGAATAAACTTTGCCGGGTTTTCTTGTTCCGAGTGACGAACGAGACCCTAGCATGCAAGCCAAGTCTCTATACTGCCGATTTGCACCATTTTTGAAAAGTGGGCGGCGGGCCTCTTGAAAAGTGGGCGGAGCCTCTCACAGTGGACGGGGCTTCACGCAGCAGCCCTAAAATGCAAAAATTTTGAAAAAAAAATCGAAAGTCGCGAAAAGCAAGTGGGCGTGTCAGCCTAAATTGTCAAACCGTTGGCGGAGTCGGCCCATGTGTCAATGCCCGGTCGTTTCCAGTCAGAGTGTTTGTGGGAAACAGCAAAAGCAGAAGTTATGAAACAAGATTTGAGAATCTATGTCCGCGCTGACAAGTGGGCGTGGCCGTCGGGGCGGGGCTCGCAGTGATGTCTGGCGTGATCTGCTTGATGAGTTGCCCGCCCTAATAAGTGTGGTTAATTTGATGTGAAAAGTGAGGGTGAATTTGGTTTGAAAAGGGGTGAATTTGGTTTGAAAAAGGGTGAATTTGGTTCGGGTGACTGTTTGGATAAAAGGGTGAATTTGGTTCGAAGGGTGCAGAACTTTGGTTTGAAAAGGGTGAATTCAAAGTGAAAATGGTATAGTAGCATGACTATATTTGCAGACATGCTATATTTGTTTCATTAGTGTGTGTAATATTCTGTGTTTCACATATAAACATGAAAACAACAAAAAAAATCGTGATGGGGGGGGGGGGGGTATGGTCGAACCAGATTGTCTGTAAGGTCAGCGGCTGTCGGTTTGCTTTGTCTCAAAATCCCATTGTGAGCGACGTAATATCAATCTGGTAACTCTGGTACTCATGCTTATTCAGACCATAGGAATCTATTGAGTTTATCTCCAGAGGCTTAAAGGGCCTTCCAGGTGAAGAGGCGGAGGGAGAAGAAGTCGAGAATGCTGATTCTCATCGACCCTGACATTCCGTATTCTTATTCTTCTTCTTCAGCGTTTGTCCCGCTCGATGGCAAGGTCCGTTCTTTTGATATGACTGCGCCACTTTTTCCGATTGAATGCCTGATCGAGGTGAATGCCGGCTATTTTCAAGCGTGCGGCGTGTCGCGTGCAGCGTGTCGTGCCAGCGCTGTTTGGGACGCCCCTTTTGGCCGCTTCCTGGTACCTCGATTTGAGAGGCAGTTTTACGGACGGTGTCATCCTTTTCGCGTGAAGGATACTGTTCCCGGTACCATTCGAAGGCGCGTTTAACGCATTTTCTCTGCTATGGGAGCTACACCATACTTCTTGCGCACGACATCGTTACAGATGCGGTCCGATCGCGCGACGCCCGCCACGTCCATCTGCAGGCATCTTGCATGCTCCATCAGCACCAAGGCAAACCTCAACTTCTTTGTCAGCGGGCACACTCGCACCATATACCGCGACCAGGTCGGACGGCAGTACCGAATAGATCTTCGAACACATACAAAACAATATTAGCGAAACAACTCACTATAGCATAAAATTTTGAGTGGCAGACGCGATCCTGCCCATTATCTGCGAGGTGAAGGTTGCCAATTTTGAAACTCTTGAAATTAGTTCCGAAGCCTCAAGCGGTTTTAGTACTTCGAATAGACGTAAAGAGACAGCTGTCGAAAGTACTGATTTCCGCCGACTCACGAAAATCCATTTGCTCATCCAGCAGCTTCGATCTTCTTATAGTACGAGTAAGTTTTCGCATGCAGATGATATGAAGTTGGCTGCAGAACCCCGTTTCACTTCTATGAAAAACAAAATTTTTAATTGTAAAAAACGCAATTACTTATGGGCCAACCCAATAGTTTTGGAAACGTATGTTCCGGAACATTGAAGAAATTCTCGTTTTGGTAAGAAGTAACAGATTTTGGCAAGTTGCCTGAAACAGTTGTTTTCTTAGTGTGTACCCAAACTATTTCAGTTCAGCGGAAAGCTGTTTTCCATTTTTTTAAGGACACCAACATCATATTTTCAGATACGCCGACCTCTTATCTTGGTGCTACGGTTAGATAGCGTTAGACACACGGTAAAACACAGAAAAAGCTGGTAGAGCACTTCTTGCTAGATGACTTGGCAGTAGGTGGCATTGCGACGTTGAATCGATTGGGTCCTGGCGCGATTAACTCCCGTCTGCAGCGCCTTTTGCGCCATACCCATCGCAGCCTCACAGCCAACATCCCGGTGCGGTTACTACACTCCTAAAGCCATGTTTCTACCAACGTTCATTGTTTTAAATTTTGTCGTTTCGATTTTCATGAAGTTGACTTGACCTGTTACATTATTTCGATGGTGTTCCGTATTCCGATTCACGTGAAACCCTTCGTTCTTGAATGTCGTGTTTTTAGTAGCCCAAACTATATTCTCCTTAGGATTACAAGTAAGGAACAAACCGCAATCAAAAGCAGTTTATGTCAGATAAAGGGCAGTTGAAAAGCACGAGAAATGCATGCTGTGATATCATCTGGCTCAAAGTGATAATTGAACTATAAATGATAATGTGAAATTGTTCATAGTGGATGAAGTGCCATGATGTGGGCAACGAATTTAGCTTAGGTGTTGCTTTGACGCTGAATATGCGTGGCGCGTTCCTGGAAAAGCGATAATAGATTAAGATTAATTGAGGAACATTGTTAAAGTGTAGGGGCCTTGACTTACTTCTCCCTCTTTGTTGAAGAGTATGGTCTGGACGGAATTTCCAGAGCCGAATGAGTCTTCGCCGTCATAGACCAGCTGATCAGGAGGCGACGCAACCCCTTGGTTACGTGCGAAGATCTATAGCGATATCATTACTGATTAGTAGGTTCACTCCGCGTTTACTTGGACTTACCTTGACACTTTTACCAGCACGCAGAACATAGTCCTTCGGGAGGGTGTACACGATTTCGCGCTTTCCATCGATGCGGCGCTTCAGCTTCCATTCGCCGATCGACTAGAAGTAAGTAATAAAAAGGAATCTGTGGACTAGCAACCAAGTTCATTTGGGAATATTCCTAAATGCGGAAGTCCGAAGGCGGAGATTCGTTTACTCTGTGTCTTATTGAAAGTGGTGTTTACCTCATCTTTAGCGCGATGGGTGTTCTGTAGAACGATGAACTTGCCATCTGGTGAAGCTTCCTTAATAGAACTCGATTCGAAAGTTACCAATGGAATTGGCAATCCTGAGCCTAAAAACCACTGAAAGAACTCACATGAATGGACACGTTTCCTTTGGCCGATCGTTGGAATGACTGACGTGAAGCGGTCTCACCCTTTACAACTCTCATTGTTTCTAAAAAACGTGCCCTATATGTTGTGTCAAATGAAGCGCTGTAAACCCTACAATCCTTGTCTTACCGGTATCCATTTCTTGTGAAATAGCATGAGTCTTGACGACTTGCTCGACTAGTTGCTTGAGACCGGCGCGATTTTCTTCACCTTCTAGCATCTTACGATAGATAGCAATTTCAGCATCCAAAGTCTAAATACCAGATCTTCGACTATTGTCCCAATTGTCACCTCGGCGACATTCACACATTCCTAACCTGTTTGGTGTCCAGAAGCATTTGAAGTTCAACCATGAGAGCTTGACATTCCTCACGCATCTTACGAATTTGAGCATCACGGTCGTTGAGAGCGGCTTCGTATGAGCGTTGGTCGTCTTCCAATTGATAGTTGAGCTCTTGGATCTGTTTCTCCAGGAGGGAGTTCTGGAAGGAAACTGTCCGTAGTCTCTGTGGTATGCTTCAACCATTACAACAAAGATTACCCTGCTTTCCAAATCGGCAAGTTTTCCACGAAGATCGCTCAATTGTGTGCGAAGACGTTTCACCTCTTCTTTCGCGTATCCGTGTTCCATACTCTACAAAGGAATCTTATAACATCAGTTATAGAACAACAAAGCTAGCTACAGAACCTAAAGACCCACCTGTCTGGCACTCTGAGTTTGAATTTCTTGCACTTTCAAGCGATACCACGATTCCATATCGGTGCGGTGAACGTTGGTAATCTGGACAAAGTAACGCATTGCCGTACGCAGAGCATTGGTTAACAGGTAGGAGGCAGGGTATTGGTGGGTTGGTGGGGATGGGCTGCTGGGAGCAGTCGCACGAGAGTATTAAATGTTCATTAAACGTTTTCTATTGCAACTCATGCTTTTTTGGTTTCATTCTCGCAGGAGTGCACAAATTTTGAACACTTAGAAGATTCGGTGCTCCAATGCAATTCTAGTCCTCATCACACCCCATTACCAAGCAAACAAAACTTAGTGGATTGAATAGTTGGAACATACTGACCAATGAAAATTTGGTTTAAAAAGTTCTCCTCACCTGGTCGTACTCTTCACGAATATCACGTATAGCCGATGAAAGTTCATTCTTGAAGAATTCACGGTTTTCCGGTGTAGTATCACGAGATGCCAATGTCTGCAAAAGGCAACAGTAAAAAACTGTATTACAGTGGATAGAAGGTCCGTATCTAGAGCATTCAAGAAACCTGTAGCTCCTTAATTTCGTTGTCGTGCACGCGACGAAGGAAGTCGATCTCTTCCAGGAGTGTCTGGACCTGATTCTGATAGTCAATACGGTTCAGGGTTTCCTGGTCGAGATCCTAAACATTTAAGGGATTAAACGCTGCCCTGTTGCTTTGGACTAAATGACGCACTTACCGTACGAGCACGTTGAAGTTCAGACAAAAGGCGTTGGTTCTCCTGTTTGATGCGTTTAACTTCGTCCTCAAGCTGAGCGATGCGGCGCTTCAGAAGGGCAATTTCTGCCTGGAATGGCATGTTTCTCGAATTCCTCGTTCACATCTATTTGTGATCATTTTTAGTTTTTTATTCCCTACCGGAAAGGAAATGGGAATATTTTTCAATATTATTTATTGAACAATTCTCATGAATAGCCTGTTACTGTTCATCGAAAATGTGGCTTCAGCCTACAATATCCCACCGGGCAGGCGCTGAAGATCCTCTTTGGCCTCCAGGTCGATTTAATCGATGTTGGAGGTCATTCACCTTTTTGACCCATGAAGATGTGAGATGCCCAACGTCCAGAATGTTTAACTTTCGAATTCATGTTGCGGTTGGGAAGGGCTGGACTTCTGTGGCAGGACTTTTGCAAACCCTTTTCAAATCGTCTTTCACTATTGAGAAGAACTCACCTCAAGATTGGAAAGATGTACGAGAAGGTCATCAATTTTTGCACGGTCTGCCTCACGTCCCCGAACGGCTTCTTCATACCTGAAAACCTTCACGTAGATGGGCGTTCACATCTGTCAGTTATAAGATATCGAGCTGTAAAGGCATGGAAACCATATAGTACCAACTACTGCTTAACTCTTGTTTTCCAATAATGTGGAGAGTCATGATTACGGGTCAATATGCTCTATGGTTTTTATTCCCAATCTTGTCCCAATCCGTTTGCAGGCAAAAAAATCTAAGGTCGGATTCAGTCAACACGCATTCTTATGATGGTCATGATGTCGTATTCCACCCCATCCAGCAGCTGCATACCGTTGCCTATACACAAAAGAACCATGAAAAGTGATTACTGCGACGGGAGTGAGCTCTACGAGGGCTACCAATGTGCTATGAAATGAGGTATCTTGCGTCTGAAGTCGTCCCTACTGCTATTCCTTTACGCCTGCTACCCGGTGAACCAAGTGATTTGGACCAGTGGCGGCATCTTTGCTCTGCAGCACAGTTGTGGTTTGCGTTGCAAGCATTACTTGCGTTCCTGCGGGTGCTGTTGTTCGCAGCTCATTAGAAGAAACTAGGAGTGCTTAGCTCAAACAACAGCAGCGAGTTACCGGTGACTGCAGCCAACAGGCAATAGCGACTGGTTAGCAAAAACGAGCGATTGTGAGCGACCTAACGATTAGTAGGCGCAGCTCGGCCATGGGGTGGGAGAATTTTGCACTTTTGCTGCTTCCCATGGACGTGTAGAGCCATCACGTAAAGATTTGTGAAATCTGGTGGATCTATGGAGTGGTAGCAGTCGAAGTTGTAGAAACTACTTTTGACTACTGTGAAGCGATGCACATCACAATGGGAAGCAGCAAAAGTGCAAAGTGTCCCCCCCCTCACCCCTCCCCTTGCCAAACTGCGCCCGACTATTGTGCAGGGTCCTATATATGCCCTTCTGAATTGTTCTTCTTCAACCCTAACTAGAGGGGAATATGGCTGTGCCTTCCAGTCACTGCACATTTCATTGATGAATGCAGGGAAAGTTTACTAGAACCGTCAAGGACGATTGTGAGGATTCGGTGACTGAACTTGTTGGTGTCTTTGTCCTTCTCTACGTCAGAATGGTTCCCCTATAGGCTTGGTCCCGTTTCGGCAACGTACAGACATCGTCGTTGTTCAAGCATGGATCGAATGTCACACAATCATGAAGGTGTGCTCGCGCTCCACTGAAGCGACTTATTAGACAAACAAACACTACGGTGGCGATGACTACGGTAGTATTCGTGGTCCGACCCTTCGCTGCTTAGAGAAGAAGCGTCAATAGCTACGTGGCAGGAAATGTTTCACAAGCGCATGAATCCTCTGCAATCTCAGCAAAGCGGCTGCCGTTGAAAGCAATCAGGGTGGCTTTCAGTGAAGAATTATGTCAAATTGTGCTTGCATATCAGGTACTGTAAATAACTCTAATTATGTATGCTGTTCTCACTTTCGTCTGAGTTCAGCCAGTTCATCCTGCATCTTCTTGATCTGCTGCTCCAAGTCTTTGCGTTGTCGGTTCGTTTCTTCGATGAGCTTTTGAGCGTCCTTGAAAAGTACAGACAATATCACGAGTAATGATCAACAGCTGAAGGTGTGGCAAGTACACAAGAATACAGTGCTTACCGCAAGTTCTCCTTCGTACATGTTGCGGATGTTGTGCGTGTCTTTACCCCATTTACTGCGAAGTAAGTCCAAGTCAGTGGCCAGCTTCCGATTTTGGGCTTCCAAGAAGCGAACCTGATAAAATCATTGCTCTAAAGGCTTACCTTGTAGCCAACATTGACCTTCGATTTAATTACCTTCTCTATGTAACTAGCCAATCGATCATTCAAATCGCTCATTTCCTTCTTTTCTCGTTCACGTGAGTCACGGATCGTACTGGCCGCATTTTGGCCAAACGGTGATAGTCCTGATCCGGCGCCTGATCTCATTTCGGTGACGATTTTCAGCATACGATCTTGTGCTTAAACAACGACTTTCAGCTCAAAGCTACTATCACGAGAACCGTAAGGGATCAACTCACAGACGACATTTCCAGCCTGTCGTCCTCCTAGTGGTGCACGTCCTCCTGGCTGGGTTGTGCTGTACGACATCGCTAAAAATAATAACCAAATCCTTCTGATGGAGACAATGCTCGAAAGGCTGAAGGCAGGTAGTAGAGAGAACAATTGAACTATACGAGGTGCGTAAGGTGTGCAACAGGAAATTCAACACTGACGCTCAAAGGATGAAACCGGTGGGTGCGTCGGTGGTGGTAGTGGTGATGACGATGAAGGCGGTGATGGTGGAAGAGGAGGAGGCAGGGCGAACGAGAGACTGGCGCCGTTTGCTATTCAGATTAGAATTTCGGACCGCTTCGCTCTCGGAGCTTCTCCCCCGCATTTCTCCCACAAAATCTGCGTGCTCTGGAGCAAAGAATTCAACGGACTGAGTTCACCCACGAGATAATACAGTGCACTTTTGCGAAAGTGCGACTTACTTGGCACTAATAAGATACAACTGTTGGTAATACGGTTTGCGTTGCAAGTAGATTGAAAACCTCTCTTTTTATCGCTTGTGCCGATTTTTTCTGGTGAGTTTGGAATTTCATCTCCGAACTGCGAGACAGAATTTTGCAGTACCAACAATAACTAAGCCGCAAAAGAGTAAAAAATATAGGTGGCCATGACTCATTTTAGAAGAGTAAGGCATCAGAAAATTCGTGAATGAATGTGGAAGACGAGAACGCGAAAAGACACTGAACATCGGGTTGTAAGTTAGATTAATGCTGGCAGAGGGCAAAAGCGAAATCTTGTCAGCTCCTGATCGACTTCCTCCCTGGACAAGGTTGTTGCACGGGTCAACACCCTCTGGGGTAACGATGTGAATGAAGTGGCGATCTGACAGATTATCGATATAAATTAAGCCTTAGAAGATCGCTTTGTGGTTCTCAGCCGATTTCCAGACCAACTTATTTGTTAACTGGTTCACACTGTTACTACAGTGAATAAACCACCAGAGGATGTTGGGCTGACTAAGAGTCGTATCGAATAGCATCAACAAGATCCTCCTAGTCAGTAAGGTAGTTTCCACCGTTTCCTACCAATATTTTCGCCTACCAAAGCTCTTCCTTAGTGGTCATCGTGTCATCGCATGTCTACCTCGCGGTAGGACGAAAACGAATCGGGCAAATCCTGTACTAACGGATATTTTCACGGCATCAAGTCAAAAGAATGCCTTTTCAAATGGGTTGCGCATAATAAGGAACACTTGACGAATATGACTAAGCATCAATCGAGGATTTGCAGGTGTCATTGAGATGGTCGGGGTGACAGTGCGTCGTAACAAGAATTCTCGTCCTCAAATCGGTACATTCGATTTTATTGCCGAATATCAGGCAAAACGCAGCGGAATCGATTTTTTTAGTTCCAACTTATGGCTCTTTCAGCGCGATCAAACAGTTCTTGTATGCCTGCTCGAGCTCGAGATGATTGCGAAGGCGAATAGATTGGGCTATTCTGGAACTGATAGCTTACTGATAGTCACAGAGCTGCGTCTTCACATTACAAAACCAGTACCAAATCATGTACTTATGAACTTACTAGTGGCACAGAAGGGATCAACGAGCCTTCCGGATTCACTCACGGCATAGACCGCAGGGGGTACATTCTTTTTTAGTTTACATCCCCTTGAAAAGTCTGGGATAAGCAATTAAAGCGACAACCAGTAGCGGAGGGACGTCTGCAACAATATTTTAAACTGGGCTTTTCTGGAATTGCTTATGTTTTCACTACTCAAGGTCGACGTACTTTGATCATGATAAAGCTGTCAGTGAAGGTGTGAAAGTGCAAAAAACTTATCTAGAAATGTAAAAGATATAATGATAAGGCTAGCGACATTAGCGACATTGCTGAGCACTCAGTAAACTAGTGAATCACACATTAGGAAAGTTATTATTGGGAAGCGATTAGTTACTATGAAGAACGCTCACGCAAGGCCTCCCTGTGACCGTCAGGTTATCGACTTCTGCGCCCAATCTGGGCACATCAAAAATACTGGAAATCTCCTACACAGTAAAGAAAAAAAATACTGCAAAAAACGTGGAGGGCAGCAGTCTCAATAAGTCTCAGATTTCTCAGAAGCTGCTCTGTTCACAAGAAATATTCACAAGGTGGCGTAGAAGCAACACATAAAGATCTTCAACCTGGGCGTACTGGGAAGGCCGTCACAAACACTCTGTATAGTATTCAGCTGGGCGTTGAATTTAGGCAATAAATTGAAAAAGCACGTCAAAGTCGCCGTCGTACTCGGCGCCGAGGCGGTTTCTAGCACACAATCGTAATTGCCGACCTCGTCGTCCCTCAAAAGGGTTCTCGTCGCCGATCGCACTGTTTGCTTACGCAAGTTGCGTTTGTCAGGTTGTATGAACAATTCAAACACATGAAATTGTACGAGGCAATATTTTTTGAAAAAGGAATAATCCTGTTCGGCCTAGCCGGCCGGCAGGTGAGCGACGAGCGAGCGATGCGATTCGAGCGATTTGAGCGAGATCATTGAATGTTGGAGCGGAAAAAAAACAGCGGTGGAATTGTCCGTAGAGGCACACTTATGATGATCAAGGTCGAGGGCATTGTTGAAGTGAAGAACCACAACGGGATAGGGACTGAGGGTGGACGGACGTACTGCATAAAACAGTCTGACTGATTCATTCATTGTTTTCTCACCCCAGGATGGTAACAAACCTACAGAAGCGCGTTATCACTTCATTGCCCGTTGTTAAGTCAACAAAGCCGGTTGAATGTCATTGAGTTGACTGGTTTATAACCATCACTCATGACGGTATAATGGAGCAGTACTGAGGTGAATGTCAATAGATATCAGCCGCTCGATGAGTGAGGTGGTTGGGTAGACTACCTGGTGTGGTTGGTCGGTTTAGCGAAACGATGTAAAGCATTATTCGTAACTACAATTGTCAGTCGTACAATCCACGAAGACAAACTGGTTTGTCCTTAACCACTTGTGCTTGGGGAATGGTAAAAACGTTGCTGAAAACGGATGTTGAACAGCGATAAAAATGACTGTCTCGACGCTTCCGAGTAGACCACAGACTGGCATTTGGGGTGGCCTGTAGACGGGCACAAATTCCAGCATGACATATACTTGATAATAACAACTCGTTCTATTGGGAAACCCGTGCTAAATCTGTACACTTTGGAAATCCCTGTAATCTCGTGAAGGGTGCAACTACAAGGTCATTGAATCCATTGCACCACGTAGCGATGTGCAGTCGGCGATTATGATTTTTGTATGCTGAAATCATCCAAGTAGAACGCTATTCATCCACACTATTCGCTTCGTTCGATTCTATTCGACTGACACGAATCATAATGTACTCAGCCGTAAGGATGCCTGATTTCTTGTTTATTTAGAGGGCAGCGATTTTCAGCGTTTGGCCGAGTTTCACTCGGCCAACCGAGACCTGCAAAGCTACTGCGAGCTACATGCGCAGGAAGCAAACAACGGCAATGAGTAGGAGGTAATGGAGCAGTGACTGAAATGAGTTAGTATCATTCATAAAAAACTCACTTTCTCGCGTAATTTCCATCATTTCTGTTTTTCGTGAGCGAAAAATTGAACAAGCTTGATCCTCGACGGCTAAAAAGAGATGATTGTAACCAGATTAAAAAGTAACCATTTAGTGCCGGAGAGACACCAATGAATTATTGACGGATGAACAAGAATATTGGAAGCACATGGTAACTACTACTATTGGAGCTATAGCCATGTACGCTGTTCGGAGGATAGCATTGACGTTGAAGGCTGGCTGAATGACGCGAGGGTAGATAATCCATGAGCGTGTATAGTAAATCGCAGCTGAGTACTTTATAATTACTCGACGAAACCGGAATATTTGGAGCGAAATAAACAGATGAAAAACATCGTAGAAAAGTGTCACAGAAACACACGCATATGCCACTTTCAGTTGTCGTTATGAAAGTGACACCACTAAATTGAGGAAGAACTGGTGGGATGGGATGGTTTTGTCACCCTCATCGATGGATTGGTGCCAATGATGTTCGCCCATAACGGGGTTAGCGCGTGGGCTATCGCTAATCGGGCAACAGCAGCACTAGCAGGAACAGTAGAGGATCACAATCTCGTGATTCCTGACGATAAAATATAGACCATAAGAACCGGAACACACGTATGTCGTTCCGCAAACAAAACACAGCCGGTGCGCAGTCGGCACTTGTGAGTGCCTCCGAAGTCTGTCATTTCGCGATGTGACATGTTATGACTAACGAAATTATTGTGTTTGACAAAAACGGTACGGCCACTGAAACTACTCAGCCCACGCTGATAACTCTGCGCCACCACACATCCAAACACCATCCACCTTCGCACCCTTTTGGAGTCTCGACAGTGAATGAGTCAAATTTTGCCCCTTTCGAGCACCAGAAAAAGCGATGACATATTACCCCTGAGTGATAGATAAGACAAGTGTTCCGACTAGAATATTAGCAAATTCACGAGCCGAAGGACCTACAGTAGCATTATTTTAACAGTGCAATTGATGTGGAAAACTTGGAGAATCGTATGTACAAGGTACTGCATAGCGATAGGTTGAATGAGCGAGCACCTCCCCCGCCTCCCCAAAGTTTTACCTGCGGTACCCGCTCTCACAACCTACCTACCGTCTTATCAACTCTTACCAATGTCTTACCAAATTCTTGCAAAATTTTGCCGTACTCTCAAGTCAGCTGGCCGAAGTAATCTAACGGCGTGCCATCGACTAGGAGGGAGAGAAGGTGAGGGCTATATAACAGCCGTCAAAATTGGCAGTGGAAAAGGTCCTCTCAAGAAGTGTGTTACACTCTTCTCGAGCAACCAAATAAGACCGCCTCTGACGGTTTCGCGTCACGATATCTGCCCCATTCGCTGATAGACTGCCTTGAGAGCTGATCATCATAGCTCGTGCTTTTCACAATGGTCTGATAGTAGCTGCAGTATCAACTGTGACCTGATGCGCAAAAGTCGCCCCGATTTTCGTCATCCTTGGCTTTTTGCTCACTAGATTTTGATTTTCAAAAATCCTTTAGGGAAGTGGCACCATAAATCCCCAAGACGTGTAAGATTAATACGCCTAGCAGGACAGAGTTAAGTGCCTCTGAGCAGGCGCTGCGTGGCGCCGCTTTGGGAGGGTGCTGTTATAGCGCTTAAGCTGCAACATGCCGACCCAAACGCCCACCGCGCTCGCCCGCCCACAAATGCTGGTGCTCTTATCGCCTCATCTGCGAAGTACAATATGAAGAGAACAGGCTGATATGAAGCGGCTGCGTTGCTCCATGATATGTCTGTACATACATGCAGCTGTATCTACCGTAGCGGTTACTGGCACGATGCCAACGGGAAACTCGTCCGAAATCGCTTTCTGAGTCGTGTAGAACAAAGTTTTTTCCGCAGGTTTTTACCCATTCCACTTCGTTTTTTTCGTCATTTTCCCAGTGTATCTTATAGCATCCTTACTACCATTCTATACCGAGTACCAAATTTCGTGCCTTATCCTTTGAATAACTAGAAACGACTGCAACCTCATCTATTTACTTTCCAGTTCATTCTTTCAGTGATGTTGAATGTTCTGTATTCGGTGTTTACGCATAAATGACCCGATATTTTGGCCCAATATAAATACCGTATTTGATGTAAATACTTCAACTTTTTGCCCACCTACAAGCAAACATTTCTGCCAGCCCAGCGCTTCATTGTAGTGCTTCGTGGCGGCACCGTGACGTGCTAACATTAGGCATGGAACTAATTAAGAAGAGCAAGTGGTTCATCTCAATGGCAGCGTACAAAAAAATAAATGGACAGGTTCGGTTCCTGTTATTGTACCCTGTCGGGAATGGACACGATAAAGCCTGTGTGGGAGGTTTTCCTTTGTGAGTTCACGATTCTTTACATTTCCACTCCACGTTCTACAGGCAGGATGTTGAAGAGTGAAGTCTTGCGGAAATCGGAGATCAGTTAGCACGAAATTAATATGAAGAAGAAGCGAGAGATAAGAGAGATTTGCTGCAGGTATTTATGAAAGGGGTACTTGTTATCACTGTGTTCCCGTTTACATAGCAATTGGACGTGCTATGTTTTCTATTCTCATCACCACTTACACTAGAGGATAGAGCGGTAGAGAGGGATAGATCTCCAGCGGAAAGAATAGCAGGATGCCAGACCACCAGATCTGGGAAGATAGTGGAGCAATGTGGAAGAAACTTAGCATAGCACAATCCTTATGGTAGTAATTCTCAATTGCTTCGCTGCGAATCTCTTTCTTTTTGGAATTCCGAAAATTTGACAGCTAATCAGTGGATCTTCGTTTTCAGAAACAGTAGTTGGGAAAACAGCCCTGAAATTCTTGAAAGGTAATTTTGAATTGATATTCCTTCACCGATGTCAACCAAGGAGGGCCGGCAGGGCACACAGGGTCTAGCTCACAAGCATTAAAATATGGTCCTCGCGCTCAAGCAATTTGTAGGCGCCCTTCTTTCTACAAGTAGTCCAGCCATCTTTCTCTAGGCTTATCCCACTTCCGCGGCTTCACAATTAGTGACGGAATGATGTGGCTCTCATGAGTGGCAGTTCTGACACCTCCCTAGTTGTCGCGCCCGCCAAAATTCAAAGGTTATTTTTGTCACTAGTTCTGATTTACCACCACGTTTTCCGTTTTTTTTACTGCTAGATTGTAACAGCATTGGATGACGTGGAGAACGACTAGTGAGCCACAGGCAGCAGGATGTTCCTTTGCTGGCATAAAACGAGCAGCTTTGGAGAATTCGTCCAGGAAGGCCTTCCTTAGGTAGGGTACTCTCCATGATTTTCAGTTGCAACTTTAGGTTTGTAATTGAGCGTCGCTATCCACTATGTACAAAAGCAGGGTTTGTCTTTAGCGTTTTTTGCTGTGAACTTGTGAAAAGAGCGTGAGACTCGTGGTTGGCAGACACGGTCAGCTTACCTGCACTAGGCAAATTGCTTTCAGTCGTAGACGGCCGGCACAGTGCTTCTAGACATCTGCTACTTCAGGAAGTCATCAAGAAAAAAAAAGACCCCGAAGTAGTTCGATATCGCGGTGCTTACCATTGGCGCCATCTTTGGGAGCAAAGGAGTCTAACAGTTCGCTGCGTGGTGACGATTCCATCTGGACGACACAACGCTACAATTTCGGAAATTGACGAAATGGGCTGATGGGGTCCGGTTTGGGTGGGGGAACAGTCAGAGGGTAACGAGGCTGTTGGTGACAGACTGAACATTGTCCAAAACGATGGAAGTGAAGGAATTTCACGACTTCAAAGACAGGTCATCTTGAATCACAATTCTGCTGCCCTCTTACTACAGACATCGCCACGACCACCTTTTCCAAGTGAAGGAGTGGCTGATTTTTTTCACTTCTTCAATTGTCTTGAATGGTCGCGTTAACCGGTAATCGCTTTAGATAATGAAGAATTGAGCTATCCGTGATGCCGATGTTACGACGGGAGACCTTTGTATAAAAGGATGGACGAACACCTACGAGCGTTGCGGAATCCCTCGTCCTATCCCAGCAGTGGATTCTCACGGCATCGCACGACCTTCCACCAACATGAAGCACCTCCTCGCTTAAAAGTTGCTGTCTTGAACCGCACGAAGGAATGTCCATTAGAAAGGAAATTGCTCGAGGCGCTCGCTATCAAGCGCTTATCCCCCGAAATAAACAACAGGGACGAGCTAATGGAGGCACTACGACTAATTGCTTAGCAGTTGTGATAAGAAGTGATAAGAATGTCCTCTCAACTGTCACGCCCGTCGCATTGCTGAGTACTTTCAGTTGTATTGGATGTGCCGCTAGGGTAGGTCGTTTGCGTGTAGTAGTGTGGTTGACAGTTATAGGCCTCTAGTAAATTGTATTGCAGACCTGAGCAACTTTATTGTTAAGAAGGGAGTCTGGTTAGTACTCTGGACAACTTAATTGTTGTAAGGTTTATAGTATTGTATGCTCGTTTTATTGTAGGTCTGAAGAAGCTGCTACGCAGCGAAAGCTCACCAATAAAAAGTTATATTGAGTTCTCATCAACCATTGTTGAAGAAAAAGAGGTGATCGCTTTGCCTATTTGTTTGGGCAACATTACTCTCGACAGCTATAAAGATCTCAGGATAAGGATCTTCTTGACGAGTTCGCGTAGTTAGTATTTATTTCATTTGAATAAATGCAACGGACGGCTGGTAGTATAATTCAGAACAACTCAATCAATAAAAGATATCAAGTAAGAAAGTGAAATGAAAAAGGTCCAGGAAGAAACGAGAACGGTCATTTAGTTGCATGCTACAGTAAGTGACAGGAACTGGATTGTAACCCCTCCCCCTCTAGTGCAGAAATGTTGGTTTTCCTTGTCAATATATGAAAAAGCGTCCGCAATAATGTCCTTGTCCTTGCTAGTACCTAATGACCGTATCTGGGCTTGCTGAAAACATTATCTATTACGAAAGAATTCGCCCAGAACCCCAGGTAAGCAAACGAGGAGTGCCTTGGATATGCTATGAAATGCGTGTGTAGTGCAGCAATATTGGCAAATGATGAAAAATCATTTTTTGGCCATGTTCTGGAAATATAAACTACAACTCTGCGTGCGTGCATAAAAGAATAAATGAATAAATAAATGAACTATTCAGCTGACAGCGCTCCCCGTTTGCTTTTGAAAGATGACTCGAGATTTCCGTGCGCGTATATTCCGTGTACGTAATTTTGAGTGGAACGCCTAGTCACAGTCTTGCGCGGATGATGAGGCGTGTCAGCGCGGCGCGTTTGGCACGCTGCCAGTCCGCCCTCCATCGGTTGCTGGAAAGGCACTTATATGAACGTTATGACTAAGCCTTGCCGCTTGCTGAAAGCAAAAAAAAGAAGACGGGTCGGGAACGCAGGTGCCCTGACACGCCCCATCATCCGTGGCGGACGAGAATATACACTTCTTATGAGTAAGCGTTTCACAAACAATTTCGTGAAGTTCACAGTGATTTTGTAGAAATTGGGGCGCAGTTCGACTTGGTGGAGGCACAAAGTGGTACTCAGCAATGCCTGTGCCGGCCACCTTGTAAAGACTTGTACATTTCTGTCACCAAAATGGCCACTTGCACCTTGACACAGCTTCACTTTACAGGTCTCTCCAAAGCAAGACCTATTGGTTAAGGTGAACTAGCAGAACGAACTAGCGAGAGTACAAATGTCCCTCCAATGCTGAACAGCGCCTAAATTTGTATGTCTGTTTATCATCTCAAACTGAGCCGCTGACTGGTAGGTGTTTTACCACCGATGCTAGCCTTGACATGGGAAGCTTTTAGCGTACCGCCCTAGCGCAGGAATGGCAAAACTGAAGAAAAAGGACTTTCGAGGCTGTTGACTTGTAGACTTGTGCGCGATTCGAGGAGTACACAGTGTATTTCTGGATCTAGTGTACTATCTAATGTGGATTATATTTACGTTGACTTTGTAGGGCTCGTTTTGGTCACAGAAAGTGCTGAAGCCATGAAAACCATGCTTCGTTAATGGCCAGTAAATTGAATTCAAGTTCTTCTGTAGTCAAGGTAGAAGAAGAATCCATTATGGCCGATGTTTCTACCGTTCCGTCTTTTTCAGAAGCCCCATGTTCCACCGCGTGAGCGTCACGTTTGCACTACTAACGATGCTTGTAGATTGGAAGAAATTGCCGGCTGAACACGAATAAGATGAAAACAATGCTCGTTGTTCGAGTGCAGTTCAGGATCCGCGTAGGTTTAGACTCACAGTTGTGAAGCAGATTCCTTACTTCTCTATATACATCGAGTAGTAACCAAATGACGATGCTCACATGGTGGAAGATAAAGAGAGTAGAAAAACAAGGGTACGTGTCAGGAGGCGCCACGCGGCACCGCGCGCGTAGGCGCGATGACTCACCGCCAATGCGCGCGGCATCTGCTCTACACGGTGTGAGAATAACTAGTCATGCCCCGCGTGAGTGATGATATCATAGAAGTCTCTCCAATGATTCCTCAGAAAAAGACGGAACAGTCAAGGTTTCAGCCTTAAAGGCAAAGCCCGCGATCATTCGCCATCACAGATAGTGGATTAGGGTTTGCATATAGACGACAAGGTGCTGAGTAACTCGATAGTGAAGAAAAAACCAAAAAACATGCCAACTGCTCTAGATAGAACCCTATTTCGTTCTCACTTTGTACGTGTTCATCTGCAACATTACGCCCACCCACACACTGGTTCTACGATTAGAACCCTACGACTGTACAAGTGGCAATTTTCATGCTTTTTCGTCCTGCAGCTTCGTTTTCACTGAAAGGCGGGCCTTGAAGGCGGAGTCTGGAGGCGGAGTCACTGGAAAAAGGAGGCGTCACTGAACCTATATTGCGCTATAGCGCCCCTCCCTTACAATTTTTTGCCGCGAAACCGGTACAAGGTTGTTCGACGCGGCCCGCAATGCCCTCCCGACGTTATATTTTCAACTTTTATACCTGATCTCGGACCATGTAAAAGCCGCTGGCTGCCATTCAAAAGGGTACTGTGCCAGTGTATGCCGTGGAAAATACCACATCATGACCTACGTTACAGGCTTGTGTCAACCTGATATTGTCTCACTGCAAGGTTCCAGAGGTTCTCATCTTATCTTCTGGCCTCCATTCGACGGAGGCAAATAAAGAAGGGGAAGAGCAAAGGAAGGAAGAAAGAAGGAAGGGAAGGGTAGGCATTACAGTTGACGGATAACCTGGGACGGTTTACTACCGGATGCGACTATCGATTCCGTTTGAGGCGAACACGCCATCGTCAAAACACCATGAGCCACCAAGAGAAACAATGGAAACGAAAAATCGTTGACTTAGTGGAAAATGAATAAGTGGGAAATAGAGAGGATGAGAGGGGGTTGGAAGCAAAGAGGTAGCTCAGCTCCCGTTCCGGACGAGCTCTCAGTCTGAAGTCGAACAAAAGCATGGTTCTCTCTCACAATCACATCACAAATACATCCCATGTTCTCTTGTCAGTGCTCATCAGTAAGAGGAAGGGTGCCACATAGAATTCAGTGGATTTCATAGAAAAAAGGGTTACAAAATTATCAAGGGTGAAGTAGCGGTTACTTAGCAACGGGGTTTACCGAATCCGCTGAATCTTGTTGAGGGGCGCAGTACCCTTGAGTACGAATACCACGTTAGCCTCTTGACTGAGGAAGACCGTGTAAATATACCATTTGAAGTGTCTTCCATCTCACAAACCGGAACAGCTTTAGCGTTCGGAATGGAAGGCGGAGGTCCCATGCCTAGATGCTGCAATACATGTTCCTTAAACTTGTCTTGCAGAGGCAGATTGAAGGATAGAGCATGGCAACACTCATTAAGGCACGGAGATCTCTACCCGTTTTGACCAGCTATCTCGAGCGTTGAAGCTGTTCGAATGTTGTGAGATAACCCCTAATAGTAATAGGCTGCCAAGAATAACCATGTCCGTAGAAGAGGCAAAGCAAAAGCTATGCAAAGCCAGAAATTTTATCACCATCCGTTGTTACCTGTGCTACTTTGTGTCTCTCGGTGGTTTATGCGACAAACTGAATTAGCAGCAGGTAGAGCTTAGTGAGAAGCTTCGAGGCTCTGCACAGTTGCGATGGGCAAAATTAGATTCGGTTCGAAATGAGCAAACCTGGAAGCTTGCGTTTTATTTTCTTTCATTTCAGTGTCGGAGCGAGCGAAACATTCAAGTATGCAGACATATGGGACAAGGTCCTCAGTCCACTGACGCTAAAAACTGAGTACAGAAAATTTTGGCTCTATAAGTTGTGAGCATGAGCTTATCTCTCTAGTAAGAGGTCCAGTCAGTTGCTCTTCTTCGCTGGGCCTGAATGGCATTGGAAGACAATCTCAGTAAGTAAAGTTTGCCAAACATTTGTTAATTGGCCGTGAAGTTATGTACCTTCCTACAAAGGTAGAGAGTGACCCAACAAATGGTTGCTATGAAAATGCGGAGGACCATTCTGTTAGTCCTCCTCTCACTTCATCAGCGAGGAACAAATAGAACGGGTCAACTGCTGTACCTAACTTTTTACTTCTAACAAAAGAGAACTGTTCCTCTGTTTAACCGCCTCACTACTGAAAGTGATTTATGGCTTCTTTATGAAACTTCTTATTAGCTTGCAAAGCTTATGACTCATGCTGATTTCAAGGCTACATTGCATGTTCCTTACAAGTCGCACCACAAAGTTTCTTTATGCATTTAGTAGAGGGTGAGTATCTCTTGGGTAGAGACATCGGAGCAATCCAGAGTTCTGCAAAAAGCAGCCACAAAATACGAAGCTGAAAATTCATCACGATCCTTACCGGTGTGGCGAATTTTCAGCACGATTACTACCATGAGTGGCCACATTTCGTCTCTGAGGGGGGCAGTTGATATAGGCTCAATCCGGCTGGGCGCCTTCTGCAGGCGTAGAACGAGCCCACCCGCGCCTGCTTTTTCTACAAATGATGGCCCACTCAGGTGGAAAAGAATCACTGGTAGAAAACGTTAGACGTGGGCTCATTCCATGTTCCCGACACGCTCCGTCGAATTGCGGCGATATCAAGTGAACTTCATCGAAACTAGGTAAAAGTTGTGATAGTCGAGAAAGTGTGTAGAAAATAGTATTCTGAGGCAACCTATGCACAATGTAGTAATGGAACTTATTGTGCACTTTAGCAACATAGAGGTTGCTGAATTGCCATGAATTCGCTGAAAACTGAACTATTAACTCCACTGCATGCAAATTTGTAAGTTCGGCGACAATAATAAATTATGTTCGAAGAAGTACGGCGAACGAACAACTGAGACTGCAGCTGAAGGGAAAAATTTCTGTCGAACAAAGAAGCCCAAAAGGGCACGGTACTCAAGTGAGGTGTCAAATACGATAAGAGGTGATACGCCTCAACAAGACTGAGAAAAAAGTAACCGTCCACTTCGAAAACAGTTGTAGTTTGATTGTACATAACCACGCTTGTAGCACTTTGCTTTCGAGGAAAAGAACATCCGCTCCACGCTCATCGCTTGGCGAGATTCCGACAGCGATAGCGGTAATATCGGCGTTTCCATCACTATTATTGACCTGATTTGAACAAAGCAAATACCTACCTCTTCACCTCACTTATTATAACGAACCCCCAAAAAACTCTTCATTTAGATAATAACATGCCACTGGTCAACCAACGCGTAGAAAAGTCGTGGGCATCATTTCAGAGATCCATTCGATCAATGGGAGAAACTGCTTCAAGGAAAAAAGGAAAGGCTGTGAGTATTCGGTGTCTGTCGACCAAAAGGATCTCATCCCCCATGCTTGGCAATTTCGCTTTTCAAAGGGCACCGACATGAGGGACTACGGATGGAAACGATGTTGGGAAGGGAGTCTTCGGAGGTAGGTGAGATGCTCTTTGGGGTGCTTTCCAACCCTCAACAAGCCCTTTCTCACGCGGTCTTCGATAAGGATGGAATAAAAATTTGCGACTCTGAACTCCGTTGAGATCCCTTTCACCCTTGCTCTCGCAATCGATAATGTCGCCTATCGCAAGGGCTCTGAACCCGCTGAATTCCATCTCGAGCGGACTCCGCACAGAACAGAATCCCTGGCTGCTTGGAAAACAGCACTGGACAGGGCGCGTAGTATGTTGGTGATCTCCAGTAAGGGAGGTCACCTATGGTCGCAGGGAGGAGGGAGGGGTCGTAATTTTTTTTGTAAGCATGTTTTCGGCTGATGAGTTTCTTGTTGAATTTTCCCTACGGCAATTTCTTAAGGAAAACTAGAGAGTTCTGAGCAAACTTGGAAAAGATTTGCAGAAAATGGTAGAACGCTGGGAAAACCTTACAGAGTTCAGGAGGATGGTAGGTAGGATTCCAGATGGGGAAGGGAGGAGGATCGTAACAGAGAATGAGAGCCTCGGAGGAAGCCTCATATACAAAATTTTTTCAAACAGGAAGACCTGCTCTGTTTCTGGAGCCCGCAGTTGACCGGGAGGCATCCAAATTACGGATGATATTATCACCTCATAATTATATCATTTGTAATTAAGGCCGGGGATAGATAGGTCAATTGTTGTGCGGCTCGCTGACAGGGTTTGGTCCCCGAAGACATCTTGAGATATGTTGCTCCATTATTCTATTTCTGAATACATCCTTTTCCACTCAGAAGTATCCTGAGGACTGAGGACCATTCAGAATTGAAAAAGATAGCATAATGGCTACTCGCTGGTAGCTAGCAGCCAGCGGGGGTTTTAGCTACCACAGCGAGTAGCCATGAGCTCGAATCGTCAGATTCTAGGAAAATTCCTGCCAATTTTAACTTTTTGGAGGTAGCACAGCCTCTAGAATCGCCTCCGGATCATCTTACACATTTGAGAGATTATAGCTTTATTTTATCGCGGAAAGTGCCTTCAAACGAACTGGAATGAACGCACAAGATAAAGAAATATGAGAGGAAGATCAATTTGAAGAGAGTCTGTTTCGTAGATTCTGAAACGAATAGTTCTCCTCAGACAAGGCACATGAACACGTCATTTTTGATATGATATGAGATAGAGGGACAACACAACTTTCAAACGTGTTCCATGTCATCCAAGGTTTGCTCCCAGGTTTCCTCAGCCGTTTGGTCCTGTGACAGTCCCGGATTCCATTGCGTTTATTCTTTCACTTCGTTAGGTGGCCACCTTTTCCACAACCACACACCAGTTACCATGTTCGAATGAGGAATGGACCACGTTCAGCGAAGGAATCAACGAGACGATACTTTCCAGCTCTCCTTTCCGAAATACATGGTAGAAGCGGTAGAATGTCACCTGTAAAACCAAACTGAGAGTATGTAGAGTATTAACGGCATCAGTCGTTAGAAATAACTGAGAAGCTCTTCAAAGTAGGTCACGAACTCGCACATCCTGGTGAAAAAAGCGATAGTAAACAAATGGATTTTGCAGTGTGCCGCTTTAGAAAGCCTTGGTAACCAGCAAGACACGCTGTACGCTTACTCTCTATGTCATTGCCATCAACTGAGGAGCTTTCTTTTAATCCTTATGAACCCCTTTTGGCCTTACGACAGTTCGACCCAACCACAATAATCTGTGAGGTAAAATATCTTAGAGTGGGTAGAGGTTCTTCCTCTAAGGGGTTCTACAGGTACCAGTCGATTTTGAAAGCTTCGAAGAGTGTTTCGTCGGCATTGACACAATGCTATCAAGTAAGGGGCTCCTACTTCTCGCAGTGTTGCCATTGTTTCTGTGAGAGCCTCATGAAGGATCTTCTGCGTGACTTCACTGCACGGTTGCCTCTTCGAACCGATATAAACAATGTGCCAACGACGTCGCTTTAACATTCAGTAAGTCATTTTTCAAACGACCACCAAGAGAGGTACATATCCAGACGTATAGTATACGTATGATGTATAAAGTTTTCGATTGCACTCAGTCGGGGACGGCGTCAAGCAGGGGTGGGATACCTCACCTCGCGACTGCCTCGCTCTCAGCTTATGTGAGACGATTCCGGACGAAAGTAAGTAGTGGTTGGAAAGCCCGCAGGTGGAACTGCTGATTGACGATCGCGGTGGTATCAACAGCGGTATAATAATCAGACTACTAAATGAGAGCTGCCATCGCTTCACTCTGTAATGAGCGATTGCTTTGCATTAGGAAGGACTTTCGGAGCTGCTGGCGGCGGTGGAGGAGCAGAGTAGACATTGGGCTTGGCAGAAGTGAATAATGGACGTATGGACTGGAACTGAAATAGTCTTATAACGAACGGTTTCACAGCTAGATTCACTTAGAAGTCAAACTTTTGAGGACCTGCCTTTGCTTTTCATTAGCTTTTTTGCTTCAATTTGTGGAGTTTTTTTTCAGGTGGTTCGATCTAAGGATTCGAATGTACTTTGAGCTCGGAGTGCTAATAAGTTACAGCCTTTCTATCTCAAAATACCTCTAAAGCGTTGCGAGCCGTCAACAGGGGCCATATTTCAGCAAAATGCCAAATATGCGCAGTCAAGGAGAATCTGAGCTCTACGGCACTAAGACACCATCTCAGCCTGCTATAACTTCTTCCGGGAGGCGGGCAAGAGAATCGTAAATTACCGCTTCCTCGCGCGCGGCAAATCGGCCGAACGTTTCCTCAGTTCGCACTATCCTTTCGAATAAGCATCGGGTTTTATGTAGACATGTTTCATGTCTATTTGTGGTCAACATTATCTATTCTCGACCAATACCATCTAAAATCTCGTCATAAGGCGACGGGGCGTTGCACGCGACGCCCACTGGTGCTGCGAATTACGATTCTCCTGCTACATACCCAGTACTTCCATCAGAGTCGGCAAACAATTCGAAAGCCGTCTCTTCTCCACTGGCACCGCGGCACTGGTATTGAAATGACGGAAACTTATCACTAGCCACAGTTCCTTCAAAGAATGCAGTTACTGTAATCTTTTTTCAATTCTAGCATGAACATAGGTTTGTATAGAGTGGAGCAGGAATTCTGAGAAAAGTGAATATTCAGTGGAGTCCATGGATTAAGAGGGTTGAGAATATGTATCAAAGAAAACTTTAGCTGCTGCTGAAGGCCTCCTAATATTAGGTTGTTCGAAAAGTCCTGCGACACTTTGATTGAATTGTTCTAGAAAAAGACCAAAAATCATTTTGGATGTTTTTATCCCTGATTAGTGGAGACTGTCCTGGGGTTTCTGCACATGGGTATATCATGACTTTGTGGAAGTTTTCAAAGCTTAAAAGTCCCTCAGAGATCGAGGTACTTTTCGACCTATCCCATATTATGAGTTCCTGTAGGGCCACTCCGCCGTAGTCGAGGAAGCTAACACTTACGTTGTCTTGAGGAAGGATATCGCTTGCCATGGCAGAGGGTAGCTTTTGCATCAGCGCTTCCAGGCTGGACTTATTTAACTCGTAGTTTCGTATATGGTTGGCTGTAGTAGAATGTATTATTTCGCACACGCAGCTAAAGATATACGCGCCCTTACTGCAAGGCTTCTTGAGCGTCAGCCCGACCGTAACCTCCAGTAAGCTGGCAACCTCTTCTAGGCTCCACCTAACGTTGATTGCCATGCTCCTCCGCAATCCCGAGTATCGGTAAAATTTTTTGTGAAGGATGCCTCATGAGTTGGACCCGTCTGACAAGTCATACCGAGTGACCGTGACTGAGTTTTTTTTTCCTTGTACACACTGGATAGAATATTGTGTGATATCATTGTGGCATTGGTAGCAGTGTTGGAGTCCGCCTTGCGTACTCATGCACCTGTTCATTCGCAGGGATCGTCTAAAACCAGAAAAGTAGATTTGCTTACGCCAAAATCGCGGTATCACTCAGAAGTTTCCTCTCTGCATCCAGAGAACAAGGATCTATTGATCCCACTTTATCACAACTGGACTGAATACCCTTCCCTCCAATCAATTATTGGCTGTCAGTTTGTATGCCTCTGGATTCCACTGGTTTAACTATAATCAACAGGGAGTAGTCCCACTAGAAGTATAGCACGCTTTGGATCTGGACTTTGTTTCGAAGCATGGAAAGAGAATTACATTCTTCAGCAAGTGATGCTGATCATTTTAGAACTGAGTTTGACTACTCAGTACTCATTGCCTCCAAAAGAGCCTTTTCTTATCTCAAAGCAAATTAGTAGATCATTAGTAGTATCAAATTAGTAATGTGCTAGATAGTGGGTGTGCGCATTTAGTTTGAGATGACCTTATAATTACTTTCTCGCACCTTTGCATGCTTGGCAGTGGGATAGCCCCGCTTAATTGGTTATAATTGGTTTTTGGCTGTAATTACTTTGGTTATAGTTTATAATTTGGTTTGGTTTTTGGTTATAATTACTAGAGGCACTCGCTAAATAGCCACTTTCAGGTATTTTGGTTGCATTGAGTATTCATACTTATGAAGATACTGTCACGCAGAGCTTAGCGAGCTGAGTCTAACATGCGATTTATCCTGGCTAATCTCAGTTTCTTTTTGGAGCGCAGGAGAGAACTACGGACTGCCTTGAAAGTCTAACAGGACAGAACTATGAAGCGTAATACGCACTCCATGATGTTCCAATGATTTCGCCGCCGCATTTTTAGAGTGTGAGAAATACTCCCTCAAAATTCGAAAATATCGTTGAGTCAAGTTCGTTAACGATGCTCTCAAATCTGGCTCGAAATGCCCACCAAATGGTTTGGAAATAAGCGGTCAACAAAAAAGCGCGAAACGTGGGATACACCTGGTCGTTTTCGCTCCCAAGGGGCAAAAAGTGGTAAGCTCGTCAGTTTCTAAAGAAAATCTGATGACCTGCTCGGTATGTTGAACATCGTTGAATCGATTTTGCATTAACCACACTTCCTCATTTTCACTTTGAGCTGCATTATGACAGTGCGACGCTATCCGAGGGGTTTTCCATAAATTAGGTGTGCAATTGTAGGAGAAATAATGGAAGCGTCAGAGCTCACGTAAGCGACTTGTATTGGTCAGGGATTCACTTGTTAATGGCTTTTAGTCCTGCCCACCACCGTCCACCCAAAGTTTAGCCGACTTGCGCAGGCTTCCCTAATGGGCCCCAAAGTCTCACCTAGGCTAACTTACGACTTGAACAGTTGCTAATGGAGCATACCCCTGAAACGAGTGGTCTGCGGTCATGATGTTTCCCAACGTTCGGACAAGCCAGCCCCGTTACGTTTGCGTAACCTGAGCGTCCAGTGCTTCGGGGATTGGCGCCGGCGTTTCAACAGGTCGAATTAGTTGCGGAAAAGCTTGTTCAGACGGACCGGCATAAAAAGTGGTGTTCCTAGCCATCGGTGCCGTCATTCGACAAGCATGAACCATCACTTCCTTATCGTTCAGTTGCTCTCGTTTTTTACTGCGTTCACGTACGCCAAAGTAGCCCAGGTAAATTAAGATTGCTATTGCTAGCGTTTGGCATTTATGCTGCTCTTTGATAATTCAAGTACTTTATACTCATACAGTTCTTTCTACAAACACTTATTCAAACATATGGATGGTTGACACTGATTTTCAAGATTAAATGAGATTTTCCAAAAAGATTTTGTTCATGAGGTTACATTTCTGTTGGTTTCGAAACGCAAAATTGGAATGGAAAATGTGGACATATTGAAGTGTGGGGTCCAGTCACTTCTACGGGCAGAAACACTTATTTTCAACTTTTCACTCGTAAGGGACTAAGATTGACCGGCATGGTGAAGTACTAACTTTTTAATTATTCTGCCGTACTCTTGACCCTGCCCATCTCAGAGGTGGGGATGACACGGCTATGTCCTCTATTTCAGTCTTAGGGCGGTCGCACTTGTGGTGGGTACTGCCGTTTTGGGACAGCTGTAATTATGTTAATCACTTGTAATTGCGTAATCACGCCCTTGTGCTGCACAAAACAGGGAGGCAGTCGTCCCAAATGGAGAAGTCTCATAAAAAGCGCATCATTTTACGCAACGCTCAAATGAAGTGCGCAGCCACGCCCTCCTCATCACCGGAATATGGAGCATGTGGCTCTACTGCTGAATGGTAGGTCGTCCGCGTCCTTTTCATAGCGGCGGGAGGTGTTGAGATACCAAGCGCTTTTATTACGTAATAATAAAAACTTTTACAGTTCTACATTGAACCTACTCAAAAGGTCATCCCAACCTATGTAACGCAGTTGGTGCAAGGACGTCTGCAACGAATCGAACAGGTTCGTTCTTCAGGAAATCTTTTGAGAGTTGATTTTTAAATATGCAACTTGTTAAGGGATTGAGGAGTACGGCTTCGGTCAGTCTGGTCTTTGATGGTGGCTACTATATTCTTGTCGACACACCATCATCGGCCGACATGAAAGCCAAAGAGACAATGCTACGATGTAACGTCATTCATTTTTTCATTATTAGCCATTCATTCAAGTGAATTAAATCATACGACTGAATGTCTCTACGTGGCATTTGTGTGGTTCTTGGAAGCAGAAGCGATCCTCTTTCCGCGTGTAAAGTTGGTATTTGCCCCAGAGTTTTTCCAGTGTCCAGTGTTTGTCAAAAAAATTCAGAAAATTACAGAACTTTGCCGTTTCATTCGTTGTATATACCCCCTAGAAAGCAGTCGTCGAAATTTTCTATAGGATACCCTATTTAGTGTTGAGGACTTGCAGAGTGAACTATCGCAGGGGACCCTAACCGTTTGATACACCACATACTGCTTTCTAGGGAGG